GGAAAACCTGCTGCACTTCACAGACAACAGCTTTATGATCAAAGTTCCACAACCGCTTTGCAGAGAGACTGAAGATAAAAGTCCAGAATGCTTTATTACTTAAGGGACACAAGTCTGCACCACAAGTGTAAAAACAAATGTTTGAAAGTCTGTGTTGTGTTAGTGTGAGACTTTAGAATGGGTTTTAGCACCAGTATCAACTTGTCATGGAAACCAAACAGAGACATCCTTCCATCCACTGAGACACGTTTGCTGCTCATTTTGATGTTCAAAGTTTTATTTAATCGTGAACAAAATGGCTCATTATGATGTTGTATGTTGAGTTGTGGCAAACGCAGCATGTTTCTCTCATTTTTAAACTTTTTTCTACCTTTTTCTAACTAGATGGCTTACCTAACTGGCAGCTCTTTCAACAGACCTTCAGGAATTCAACCAATCAGAAGACACTTCGGTCAAGTCCGCTTTTTCTTGGAAGGGTTCCCCCCCCTCAAAAAAAACCTAACTAATTCTAAACTGTAATAGAGTTATGGAGTGGGTAAAGCTACTAAAGGGCTATTAAAGCTGAGGAGTTCAAATACTGAAGCACATAACATGTAATCAGAAGTCATGGTATAGGGTAAAAAGTATGTATCCTCAGCATCTTTTTTTCACCCAACAACTAAAAATCCTCAATTAAGATTAATTGAATCTCATTTTCCCTCAGGGTACTCCAGCCTCCCCCCATTGTCAGAAATCATGCATGTTAGGTTGATTAAACACTTTAATTTCCCCCCAGGAGTGAATGTGGGTGTGTGTGGTTGTTTGTCTCTGTGTGGTCGTGTGATGGACTGGTGAGCTGTCCAGGGTGACCCAGTTGGAAATAAGCTGAATAGAATGTAGATGGATGGATGAACCTCATCTTAAATAAATAAAGTAAGAAAAGAAACATGGACACCTGGGGGTAATTGTTGGTGGCAGCATGTTGTCGCTGTTATATAATTCATTTTCAGAAAGGAAAGTGTTAAAAATGCTGTTAATAAATAATGCGTTTGACTTTGCTCTTATTTGCTAAAGGATCTCTGCAGCAAATACAGCATCTAGTATGGATTGCGTCCCTGTGCTGACTGTTCTTCTGGTAAATGCAGCCTGCAGCCAGCTTCAGTTGGCTGCCTTCCTGTCACAAACACTCTGGGCATGATAAGCACTTTCTATGTGTGAATTTGGATTCATCCATCACCAGGAGTTTAATGATTAATGTTTATTGTGTACAGCCCTAAAAAATAATTAGAAGTTACAAATAGAAATTTTCGAGTATTAAATTCAGCAAATCATACTTTCCCCCCTTAGTCCGTGTCCTTTTTTATCTCTAGGCACACAGGCATAAATCTCAAGATGGATGATTGTGTACAGATAATGAATTTTACATCCCACTGTCCAGGTTTATATTACACATTTTTTATTCACATAGTAAAATGTGAATGAGGAATGGTTCTATCCTTTACCAATTGAGAAAAATGATGATTTACACTTTTATGTATTCAAAGTTTAAACTGAAATCTGACAGTTGAGTTGACTTACCAGATAGATTATCACATCCAGGTATACACAAAATAAATGCATCTGTTTTATACTTTACTATCCAAGGTTTGATTCTTTTTTGGGAAAATAATACTTTTTCTATTAACTGACAACATAGCTGTGATGTCTAGAATAAATAGTTTAGTCTATTAGCTTAAAGATTGGCCAATAAAATGCTTCGATTTCCTGTGAAAAATTATCTTTTCTTGTTTTTGTAGTTCCTAAAAAGAGTGCTTCATATCAATCTTATACGTGAATGAAACCTAAATCTTAAGTCTTACAGACACGTTTAATATAAACTTGGTTTTAGGGAACAGATAAGAGCTGGCATCAGCTACGGGTTTGGTGGTCAAAATGAAGAAAAAATAAAAAAGGACAAATTAATTTTCCAATCACATGACCATCCTTTCAAAATACGTTCACTCTCAAATCTGAAGATTCAAGAGGAACATCAAGGGGGTTTAACAAGTCAGTAAAAGATCCTCTGATGACTAAAAATGTGTGTAAAAACACACACGATACCAGTGCATGTGCATTTTTAAAAAGAAAAGTGGCATATTCTTTCCAGCGTCTCAGTTGAGGGCACAAATACACGAAGAATAGTGTGTAAATGTTTCAGTTATTCCATCATGCAACTGAACAATGATAAATCACAAACATTTTTAACAACAAAGGCTTTCAAACAGCACATGACCTCAAAAGCTTTTTCTTTTTCTTTTAAACTCTCCTCCTGATGCCGAGGATAAAAGAGAATTTCAGATTTCAGGAGCTATTGATGTCTGTGCCTGCCTGAAAACATCATTGTGTCCACTCAGAGTCGGTCCAGAGATTAAGTAGAGGCATCACGGTGAGAGCATGATGGGGGAAAATCAAACATCCTTCATCTCGCGTCTGTAGTCCTACCTGATGACTGCACTGCACCTGGTGTTCCTCTCTTGTACCTAAATCCCCTCATTTCAACATGCAGTTACATTCATCTTTAAACTCCTTATTGAATTTCTGCGGTAATCTGACAGGGCTTATGTTTAATGTTCGCTCAGCTGAGAAAATATAGCTCAGAAGAGCTGTACTCACACACACACACACACAGACACTTTTCAACCCGCGAGCATTTGTAGAGCGTTGTGTGTTCGTCATGAAAACCTCTAACGGCTGGGCTCAGAATTATAGATGTGGTATCCACTGAACCGTCATATTTGAAATCAAATTGAAATGTTCCTAAAGTGAGTTAAATCTCTAAAGTGGTTATTATAAACAAGGATAAGTGCCTTAAGTTTTGTAAGTGATTTCTGGAAGAAGAATGTATTATGATGTAAAAAAAGAAAACATTTGGGATCTAACAATCAATTTTTAGATTTTGGCTGTTTTACTGACATTTTCGGTGTGGAGATTACACAGTCGATAAGTATAAAGAAGTACCCGATAAGCCTTGAAGATGGGGCAGCATTTGACTCGTATGGATAATGGGGTTAAAGATGAGGCCATGGACTTTGATAAATATTTTGGTTCATTACACTGGAGCATTTATTAATGGAGCAAAGTCAATTCACTGTCTGATTGAGAGTCTGGGCCTTTACCAACTCAACTGCTGCAGATAAGCACTGTACATCAGGGCCGTGTAAAGGGATGTTTACTTTCCATCCACTGCTGGTGTGGTAATGCACCGGAGCACAAACATTTCAAATCATGCATACGACAGTAACAAAAAGGGGAGTCCATACCAGACAATTTCTGTGCAGGGTTCCGGCAAACCCGGGGATCCAGGAGGCGTATCCAACTGGCTCCCTGAAAAACATGGACCACTTAAGTTCACTCCATCAGTCAATCCAAAATAGATAATAATCAAAGTATATTCTGACAGCTGAAGTGTTTTCCCTACTCTTGATGATATAAGAATTTAAATAGGACCAAATAGTGGTGTGGTAGGGTGGTGGTGGCATTGTTGTTTCACAGCAAAGGGGAGTTCCCTGTTCAAATCCTTTTTTTCCGTGTTTGTATAGATTCCTCCCTCCCACCCTCCAAAAAAATGCATGTTAGGTTAATTGAACGCTCTAAATTGCCCCTTGGAGTGAATGTGATTGTGTGTGGTTGTTGGTCTCTGTGTGGTCCTGTGATGGACTGGTGACCTCACCAGGGTGAACCCCACCCTGCACCCAACGTCAGCTGGAATAAGAGAAGTTTAAAGTTAAAAATGACTTGCAAACTTATCAATTTACTTTGAGAATAAATGATCATTTCCATCAATGTGGCTCACAACAACTGGTATTTTAAAAAGACACAGAAGATCTTTATAGGGGCTCAGATTGACATAACATTGTAAGCTATTGTAACTTGCCATAAAATGCGGTTCCGCTATATGTTCCGTATATGGAAATGTGCCAAACAGATTTTGTATAGTTTTTAAAAAAAGATTCATTTAAAAAAAAAAAAAAAGTCAGTTTCCATCCTTCTGTATAAGCTGCCAACTGTGTGCTGAGAGCAGCAGACTGCTGTGGAGCCGAGATAAGGCTCCACCTGCCAGCCATGCTCATCACTGAGTTTATGGCTTTGAGTGTGTGTATTTGTCTGAGCTGCCATGTGTGCATGTGACTTCTGCCTTCCTGATCTAAAGAGCCTCTCAAACGGACCATAAAATCTGCACCTCACCGAAAACCCAACAGAGAAACAACATACAAAGGAAAAAATAAATGATTTTGGAGGAAAGATTCCGATTTGTTTAACAAGCAGTGAGATTCCTCCAAAATTTTAGACAAGAAAATTGTCTTTCGCGGAGAGTTGTGTTCATTACTGTCAGCTATTAGATCTGGGTTGGTCTACCGGCCTCTTCCTGACCTGTTTACTGCTTTTAAAAAAAGCCTTTGTCATGGTTTTCAAGTGTAATCTAATAAACGTCGGGACGTTATAATCAAAAGATCAAATTTGCTCCTGTCATCATGGAGTGTTTCTCATTTTACAAACAACTTTTCTACACAACTTTTCACACTTCAATCAGCCCCAGGAAGTGCAATTTCGCCTCTGAGGCTCACATTGCTTCCCTGCTCATAAACAATGCCCAGTATGGTCTGCATCCCTCAGAAGAGTGATCTCTTTCCACTTGTGATACACATTCATTCAACCGACAGAAGAAAAACAATTCTCGTACTTACATTCAGCCAACAGAAACTCCCTGTCATCTCTGCTACCCTCCATTTCTCACCCTTTCTGAGAAAATGACAGGAAGTGCAATAGGAAGTGAAGTTTCTTTGTAACATTCACGCCTTTTTCTGCTTGAATCATCAACACTATCAGGAGGGCTTCTCGAAGTCGACGGGAGCTACCCCTGATGGCCGTAGACAAGGTGCGCACACATTTGTTTGGGAGGTTCCTGAGCAGCAGGAAGCAGATGCCACGTGTCAACACCATGACGGCGTGAATGAGCGTGAGCGTGAGCTGACTGCACGACCATGGTGAGAGCGGCTCTTGCTAAACTTCTGGTCCTCGTGATCCTCACCTTCATCCTCTGCCTCCCAGAATTCTTCACATTGTACAGAGGTGGGTCTCCCCAAACCGACTTCAGACGCACGCCAGTACCGGCGCCGGTGTGTTTGTGTCACTGTCCACGTGTTTCACTTTTTACGCTTTCACTCCTGTTTGCTTTTTTTTCCATTTAGTCTTTTTTTATACCTACGTCTCTATTTTTTAAGAAGATTTGTTTAAAATTGTCACTTCCTGTCTGAGTTGTCTTTAATGTCTTCTTTTCTGAGATAAAGATCAGACCCACATATGGTGTCACACAACCTTGACTGACAGTCATTTGAAAACGTTTCCGCTCTGGGGTGCCTCAAAAAACAGATATTTATTGGAGGAACATGCTTTTAACCTCTGCAGTCATGCTGCTCGCCTCCAGTTCTTCTTTTTGTTTTCCCCTCCCTATCGTCCCTAGTTTGTCTGTTTCTGTCAGACATAAACTGGAGGCATCAGCTTCCATTTTAAGATCCTGCTCTGGTTTCTGACTTGAGAGCACTTTGTTGTTTTCCTGCTTTATGCCTCCTTCCACTGAGAGATCCCCCTGAATATATATTCTGTTTATCCTTTCAGTGTCAAAAGTGAATTTTTTCTGCCTTCCCTACCAACTCTGTGAAGAAGGAAATCAGGCAAAGAAAGGGGAAGACGGGAGGCGTGAAAACAGTGAAGACAAACAAGGAGATATTTGCAATCCTTCTCCAACGGCAGATCATGAAAAATGGAGGCAAATCTGCTCACAGAAGTATCAAAGACAGTTCACAGATTCAGATTCAGCACCAGAAACCAGCGGAGGGGATCTGAGAATGAGCTGGTTCATGTGTGAGGCGGACAGCGACATGGATGAAATGCTCAGTAACATCTCCTCTTCAGGTATGCATCAGAACACCAGCTGCCGGCCCATTGAAGCAAAAACCTCCGTCTCAGTCTTCTTTTCATTTTCAGATAGAAATACCCCATTAGCTTTAATGTGCCATCATGAATATTAACACTGGATTTTCTGCTTGTCTCTAAATCAGGGCAATCTTATGAAACTAAATTCATGTTTAATTCAGAGTGAGGTAAAGACCACCTCAATTATGTTCTCCAGCAGTGTCAGTAGGTGCAAATGTGGTTAGCCTCTTTGGTTCATTTAAACTTTGAAATGTTAAAGAGTACAAAGAACTTTTGGGGATAAAGGATCCTGGTCTGCAGCATTATATGCTTCTTCTGCCTTGTTGGTGGCAGCAGAGATCGGCTTAAGCTAATTAACCAAATGACTCAAACCGAAACTTTGACATTTTTGCTGATAGTCGGCGTGTAGACTTTCTGAAAGGTGAAAAACTGACATTTGGCACCCACCAATAGTTTTGATAAGCAGATCAACATTTGTTATATGGGCATTTATGAGTAATTTCTCCTTCAACCAGGGGTGTCAACCAGTCAGGGTGAGACTGAGAACCAGGCTATACTTAATTGGAAGTCTGACCTTTTAGTTTAGACCTGTTATAAAAACTGCACTTTTAGAGCAGCTATGGTCTGAAATCTGATTTCTGGAAAGCAGTGGAGTGACTATACAGAGTTACCCAACACTGCCATGCAATAAACAGACATGCTAAACAAAAGCAACATCAACCGAGCCACTAGCGCAATCTGTTCTGACCCCCGCCCATAAAAGAATAGTCCCCCTGATGCAAGAATTGGCTGGACTGATGATAAATATTGTGATCAAGGGAAACTGGGCCAACACGTGATAAGGAAAATATAAACCAAGTGTATCTGATGCTCAAGGGGCTGCATGCCAGCGTAGAGAATCATAAGTATATTTGAGGTTGTAAGGGTATAGCATGTGCATGTGCACACCAGAGATGATTTAGTGGGGAGTCAACACCACAGCATAGATGTCATATGGTCATATGGAGGACTGTAGTTAGAGTAGGATGCCGAAATGATTGATTTAGCAGAGGTCATATACAATTGAGGATCACCACCAACACCCAGCTCACTTTTCCATTGGAAGTTTTGCAAATCTTACCCGGAGAAAGTTGTGAATAATGGATCACAGCCAGACGGATTCTCTTGTTCCTGCACCAGTGTACTCTCGTCTGATGTTGATTCAAAGTTGAAAGACGATGAAATCTTTCAATATCAGAGGAGTGCTTTTGTGATTTCTAGCAGTTTAATTTGGTGAAAATAAGCTCCCTCGTGACACGAAATCATACCAGCATGGAGAGCGATGCTCACGTTGTCAGAATTTTGATAGTTACTTTGATACGACGGTATCTCATTAGTATTTCTTCCATTTGCTTTTTCTTACTTCAGTGGTTCATAACAAAAAATATATATTTGGGTTTACTTGGATTTAAACTAATATGGAATTCATTTTAAGCCAATTGCTCCCGATAAGCATGTTAATCTACAATTCCTTTTTTAAGGTAGCGCTGAGTAATGTGTTTTTGGACTTTAAAGCACTTCTCCTTCGCCACTTTTTTCAAACCAGTTCCCATCATTTATGCCGTGTCTGCACTTTTTCATTTACCAATCTCATTTGAGTTCTCATATGACTAAGGACAAAGAAAGAAAAAAGGTTGTTGCGTCCATGTTCTTGCATGGAGGACCAACATTTCACAAAGACTTCAGGAAATACAGGCTCACAGATCCCACAGCTCTAATATTTCTTAGTCCTGTTTTCACATTAGTAGATAACTTTAAGCCCTCTCACCCACAGCTAACAGGTTGAATCTGGAGGTGTCGGTCCAGCTTCAACTAAACAAAAAAGAGACCCTGAATCTCACGTTGTACGGCCGCAATAACCACAGCTCCTTGCATCTCCACCCACCTGAGGAGGAGGAAGACGAAATGGCTGATGATGGAGGACGGAGGGAGGCACTCTACTGCTGTCTTTCTCCTCTGCCCGTATCTAAATCAGCCAATCATAACCAGTGTCTCCTTTGGTTCGCCAATCAAACAGTTTTGAATGAAACAGCAAAGGAAAAGCTGCCATGGAAACGGACACAGGAAGGTTGGTGTCAGTATGTGGGAGCGGTGCTTCTTTGTTCCCTATGTGGCCAGTGTGGTTTCCCTATAAGACAGGAGGAGATGAGAGAGGAGACAATAAGAGACAGTAAACAACCTGATCTGTTTTCATTTGATTCAAAACTGCCCTCTCGCTCAGCTCTCAGTGGAGTCATTTTTTTTCAATGAAGCAAATTTCCTGTGATTCTCCCTCTCTTGACTCCAATCTCAGTGGCGACTTTGTTTCTTGCTCTTCCTTTTTACTGAAGGATCTCTCCACAGACACAGTGTGACTCAATTTTTACATCTCCAGTGTTTTTTTTCCTCTTTTTTTCTTTCTGTTCTGCTCCCTAGCACTCCTCCTCTTCTTCAGGCTAAAAGTGTTTCATATTTGCAGCGGGCATGATAAAGCTGGATATCCATGTGTCTGTGTGTGTGTGTATGTGTGCATATTCCCACAATCCTAATGTTCCATATCCCCAAAATCTTCCCCTTCCCTTTTCTGTTTTGCTTCCATTTGCTTCCAGTTTGAGCCTTAATTTCAGATACATTTCTCCTCCACAAGGCTTTATTTCTTTGTAGCGTATCTAGGAAACAGTGAGGCTTTTCATTAGATGACTGGATGCTAGCTAACAGGCCAGAATCTCTGTATATGTCTAAATACATGTCTGACTTCCAGATGAGTGGCAGTGTGTCATAAGGGTGATCTGGCTGGCTCTACTGTGTGTGGTGTTTCTGGTTGTTGCCACGACCGTGATCAGAGAGATATACTGGAAAAAGCTCTTGCGTGGTAAGACTCACAAAAAGTACACACTTCTGGTTCACTGAACTGGCTTGATGTTTTAAAGGTGATGTGAAGATGTTTATTGATTTGTGTTTTTTTTTCCCCAGAACCCTCAACAAAGGCGAAGACACACCCAACTGATCACAACTTAAAAGGGCAGGAGTTAAACGGTAAATAAGAAACAGGGGGCTTTCTGTTGCTGAACTCCCTTTTCTACCTCCCATTTCTTATGCTTTGTGTGAAATTCAGGTGCAAACACCTGCTTTGCTCGTCAGTGGGCAATCTGAGGCAAATTGGTGCTTGCAATCACAGCTACAAAAGAAAAAGAAAAGAAAAAAGTTACACAATACCAATCTGCAAAAAGGAATCAGTGATGAACAACAGTTATCTTTTGATTAATTTATGGCTGACCAACCAGGATTCAGACTATCCACCATTTCTTGCACCATATATGTTAAAGTTTTCCTGGGTCTAGAAAGAAACACCACTTTATCTGTTGATTTGTGTTCCAACTCCTGAATTATGCTCACAAAATTAAAGCTCACAGATGAACCAGTCCACATGGTGAGGTTAAATGGGTTTGCGGTCAGAGTGACAGACTGATTTCGAACCAGAGATCTAAGTTTAATACTGGCTGACACATCAATTCCTATATGTACTTTACATGAAACTTTATTTTTGTTCCAATGCATCCTTTTAGTTATTTGTCCTTTGGTTATTTTGGGGGAAATAAGCCATATCTGATTAGGTTTAGGAAATTGAATTTGATTGATTGTGTTCTGTCTAAGCTGCTTCGTGTACATGAAAACAGACACTCATAACTTCTCACTGTTTTTTTCCCCCTGACTCATATAGCAAGAGCTCCACCCACTCTATAAATGGAACAAAAACATGTTACCCAATTGAACAACACCTCCCACAAGAAATTGTACTTTCAGAAAACACAAAGATTTCTCAAATGTTGTTTTAGTGCAATTCAAATATTTTAGAAATTGTTTTAAGGGATTATTGCGGCCAGACCATGCAAATTGTAAGAAGAATAAATTATCTATCATCCAGATAGATTTAGTAGAGTTAATTTGTCTCTGAATATGAATAAAGTTAAAATCATATTTAAAATGACAGCACGGTGACGTTAAGAATAAAAGATTTATAACAATGAAAATTAAAAAGACAGTAGATTAAATACTACTATCATAAAAAGTTCCAAATAAGACATTCTGAGATATTTTAAAAATGACAAATGTTTTTTGTCAAGAACACATTAAAACAGAAACAAAAATATATCAAACATCAATGTAACATTATGAAAGTAAGCCAGACATGTGCTTGTCGAAAATTCTGTGACATCCACCGAAATTAGTTACACAAATTGAATAAAAAATCTGAGACTCTCACAATGATCAAGATCACTAGAATTCTTATCCTCATGTCAGTTAAACAAAAGCACACAGATATAACTTTCCATAAGATCGTCAGTTTTCTATTAAAGAAATATGTCAACCTTTTGTGAAATAACCAGTGTTTCTAATGATTTTCCATCCAGACCACGAAATGCAAATGGACGGCGTCACTCCTAAAGGTAAACTGTACAGCAATAATGCTTATATTCCGATACAGTGGATACACTTAAAATCTAAATAAAGTCATTCTCCAACAGGCACAGCCCTCAAATCACAGAGACATTACACCTTGTCAGGTAAGTTTCATAAAACAAAGAATAAAATCGATGTGCTGTTTCAGTCCTTTGATAGTCACTTTATTTTTTTTCATTGAACAGGACTGTCACCGATTCAAGAAGATGAAAATCAAAGTAAGGACACACACACATATTGGATCACTGATATAATGAGAATGTAACACACTCTTAAGCTTATGCTCTCAGAACCGATTGCGAAAGCCTTACCTCAGGTCTAGCTGCAACATTAAATCCAACTCTAAATGCCCCAAAACAAAACCTTAAAGGAGCATGAAAGAGCTATCACTGATCAAACAATCCTCACTTTTTAAAGATGTCCTCATTCCAACACCTTAAAATACTATTTTTACACAGAGACGTGTTTCTCTGAGTTCATATGGACTTAGAGATGAAACTTGTTTACTCCTTTACTGATCCTAACCCAAACTGAAACCAATGTCTGCATTGGAATTTATTCAAGTCACAGCATATTAGATGGCCTTGCTCGTGCCTCGTACAGTGTCACAGTTGGTAGTGGTAGACAAAAGGACCCAAGTGCAGACCAGCCAACTGGGGGTGGACAGGACCAAAAATGCAGCAGAGCCAGAAAAAAACATTAGAGAACCGTTTTAAGACAAAAACCAAATACAATACAAGCCTAAAGGCAACCCAAACAGCTGGCCAGAGAACAGATCTCAGAGAAAAACAGGAAGGCTCTAAACGGTGAAGCTTAGCAAAGCAGCACTGGGGTGAACAAATGAGGAAGAGGATGAAGCTGTGCTTGATTAAGTTAGAACTGGTTGCACAGTGCACTTTGGGCCCAAAAACAGGGGAACTGATGACACCTAGATGTAAAGACTAGAAGAAAAATCTAAAACACAATACAAAGCATAACCTCACAGCCAGATACCAAAGAGGACAATAAAAAAGAGAGCAAGAAACAAATTAACCTGAGAATTCTGAATGATAGGTAGAAAAAAAATTCAAAGTGAAAAAAATAACTAGCAGCCGGGAAGATGAAAGAATAAAACAGAACAGTAAAATGAATAAATCATAGACAAATAAATGTGAGTAAAAAACAAACAAACAAGGAATGACTACAAGCAAAAGTTCAAATGAAAACAAGACAATTCAGATTAAGAATCAAATCAGAATTTAAACAAACAACTTATAATACAAATGAAAAAAAAAACATAACTCCTAACAGAAGTAGAACAAGACACAAGCAAACAACAAATTGCCCATCATGTGCCTGCAGTTGTTCCTGCATGATTGTGTTACATGTCATTTTTCAGATAACATGGACACACTGCTGGATGGGAGTGCTGACCACTGCTACACGGGTAAACTCAATGTTAATGACTATTTAGACCCAAAATGGCAAACAGAAACACTTCTGGTTGAAAAATATAATAAATTGGATATAAATTGTACATTTTGTATCCATACAACAACCAGTTAATTGACTAACAATTAACAGGATGAAATTATTAAACAGGCTAAAAGTGTTCTGTTTTTTATTTTTTTTATTTCACCATGGCCTATTTTTTGCTTGTGCCTTTTCTGTTTGTGACTGTATCCATCCTCCTCAGGAAAACTGCATCATCGCAGCCACCCCACCTACTTCCCAGAGAGCACCTGCTGACAGCCAGAGGAGCTTAGTATCAAAGCGCAGCGGGGAGTAAAAAAAAAAGTAAAAAATTTAATCACCTTCCACTTTCCTCTCTGGATGGATAAAACTTGTTTATTTTAAATAACTCTTCGACAAACACTTCATCAGAAAACAGTTCTAGGTGAGCAAATTGTCCAAAATCCAATGAATTGAT